CTGGGGGCTGGGTGAAAGCCCCTCAACCTTGGCTTCAGCTCTGCCTCTTGCTCCTGGCCCACTGAAGCTAGGGGCTTTTCCTCACTCAGACAGCTGCTGGCTGCTGAAACTGATAAGCCTAAGGTTGACAAGTAAAAAGGCACAGTCCCGAAGTTACCAAACCACACAGCAGGCCATTAATTCAAGTCCATTGAAAGTCCCAAGGTCGGCAGAGCATGGCAGGCTGCTGAACAACACTGCTACATGCAGAGTTCAAGCGTGCCATAAGCTGGAGACCATTCCCAAAGCTATTTCTTATGTATGGGAAGCAGACTACATAACTAAAGCAGCTACTCGGCTGCTTGTAGGTCCTACTATGCAGTTGATTGCTGGTCTCATTATGGGGAATAACTGCCACTAGCTGCCCAACCACTCAACCAGGCCTAGCCAAGTTGACACACAAACTTAACCACCACACCAGAATACATAAAGAAGTCTTACAAGTCAACAATTAAAAGACAAATAATCCTATAGGCTAAAAGAAAGGGGGGGTGGAATAAAGAAAAGGTACAAATGGCCAACATGCACATGAAAAGATACTCAACATCGTTAGTTATTAGGGAAATGCAAATCAAAACTACACTGAGATACCACTTCAACCCACTAGAATGGCTATAATCTTCTGACAAACAATTAAAACCGTTGGTGAGGATCTGCAGAAATCAGAACATTCATCCATTGCTGGTGGGAATGTAAAAATGAGCAGCTGCTGTGGAAAACAGTTTGACAATTCCTCCAAATGTTAAAGGTAATCAATGCCACTGAATTGTAGATGTAAAAATGGTTAAAATGGAAAATTTTTTTGTAATATATATTTTACCACAATAAAAAGAAAAAAATACTAAAAAAGATAAAGAAATGTAGGTCTAAACCTTGAAAATATTATACTATGCTAAGAGCCAGATACAAAAAGCCATATATTATATGATTCATTTATATGACATGTCCAGAACAGACATACTCAGAGAGACAGAAAGCAGAGTACGAGTTGCCAGGGGTAGGAGGAGGGCAGAGGCAGGATGGGGAGTGATAGCTAGTGGGTATGGAGTTTCTTGTTGGGGTGGTGAAAATGTTCTGGAATTAGATAGTGGTGATAGTTGCACATCATATACTAAATACCACTAAAATATATACTAAATACACTAAAATAAATTAAAAACCACTGAACAGTTTAATTTCAAAGGTGAAATTTATGGTATGTAAATTTTATCTCAAAAAGATTTGAAAAG